AATTGATTTGCCTCCCACTGTCCAAATATTCCATAAGGACCAGGTCCATGAATGTGGCAATGTGCCTCCTTTCCTGCCTTGGTAGCATACATTTGTTAACAAATTCGAACAACACTTTGTGGGGGTGGCTTCATCTCACTTTTGTAAATAGCCTTGGGCTCAAGATCCTCTTCATTGTCACCAAACTTCTTAGTGATGGCAAGGGCATTAGGGAGATTCTCTAGACTTGGCCATTTAACAACAACAACAAACCCAGTTTGATCCCAGCAGGTGGGGTCTGGGGAGGGTAGTCTATACGCAGACCTTACCCCTACCTAATACAGGTAGAGAGGCTGTTTCCAATAGACCCTCAACTCAGGAAGGGCAAGAAGAAGAAGAGGAAATCAAGGAAGGAAGAAAGATGGAAGATAAAAGAAAAAGGGAGAGAAAAAGGATAAGTGGTACCAAATAATAGCAACAGGGAATACAATACCTGAGGCGAACAAAACCACATAACGTAATAAAAATCTAAGAATATGAAGGGACATGCATGCTACTAATACTATGGGTGACAACTATAAACTACTTCTACCTTAATCCTCCACACCCTCCTATCAAGGGTCATGTCCTCAGTGAGCTGAAGCAGCGCCATGTCCTGCCTAATCACCTCTCCCCAATACTTCTTAGGCCTACCTCGACCTCTTCTCAAACTCTCTATGGCCAACCTCTCACACCTCCTAACTGGAGCATCAATGCTTCTTCTCTTAACATGTCCGAACCATCTCAGCCTCGGCTCCCGCATCTTGTCCTCCACGGAGGCTACTCCCACTTTGTCCTGGATATCTTCATTCCTAATTCTATCTCTCCTGGTACACCCAAAAATCCATCTCAACATCCTCATCTCTGCTACTCTCATCTTCTGCACGTGGGAGTTCTTGACTGGCCAACACTCAGCCCCATACAGCATAGCCGGTCGAACCACTACTCTATAAAACTTACCCTTAAGTCTTAGTGGCACATTCCTATCACACAAAACACCGGAAGCGAGCCTCCACTTCATCCATCCCGCTCCAATGCGATGCGCGACATCTTCATAAATCTCCGCGTTACCCTGGATAATAGACCCGAGATACTTAAAACTCGCTCTCTTGGGGATAACTTGAGCATCAAGCTTAACCTCTACGTCTGCATCATGTGTCCCGTCACTGAACTTGCACTCCAAGTATTCTGTCTTGGTTCTACTCAGTTTGAAACCTTTAGACTCCAAGGTCTGTCTCAAAACCTCCAACCTCGCGTTAACTCCGATACGCGTCTCGTCAATCAACACTATATCATCGGCAAATAGCATGCACCAAGGCACCTCCCCTTGGATGTGACGCGACAAGACATCCCTCGCCAAGGCAAATAAAAATGGGCTAAGATCTGATCCCTGGTGCAACCCCATCACCACAAGGAAATGCTCCGAGTCACCACCCCCAGTCCTCACCCGAGTCAATTCATTAAGCCCAAAACAGAATTGATGATAGCCACACCTATTAAAAGTGATACTGTTGATAATAACTTATACTCGTTCTGTGACGTGTTCCTTATAGTAATAAAATCAAATTACTTCACAAAGTGTTTCAATGATATTTCATTATACACAATGTAGCCTAAATAAATGCCATAACTCTTGATCTCACAAACATTCGTAGTTTGCTTTAGCCGCGTTTAAATAAATCATCATGGATGTGGGTACAGTTTCAGTGGCATAGTCATGATACATAATTCCCAAATTTGGGTGCACATTTCATGTGACCCGACCACAACTTCAAAAAATAATAAAATACACGTTGTAAATTGTGGATACGGTTCCCATGACACGATTCACTACGTGTACAAAAACAAACAAGTGCACGACAATCGTAACTTGTTCCAGAAATAATTCCATAAATAACTAAAAGCGGTTAAAAGGTGAAAATGCACATTAGGGTTTAAACATGTAATAAATTAGATAATTAGGCCAATTATTAATAATTGAGTGACCGTGCTAAAACCACGTAACTTGGGAGTGCCTCACACCTTCTCCCGGGTTAACAAAATTCCTTACTCGGTCTTCTGTGTTCGCAGACCATAAAATAGAGTCAATTTCCTCGATTTGGGATTTAAAATACACTGGTGACTTGGGACATCATAAATTATTCCAAGTGGCGACTCTGAAATTAAATAAATAATCCCATTTCGATTAATGTCACTTTAATTAGAAAAACTCCCTATCCCCCTCGGGAAAAAGGAGGTGTGACAGACATTGCAGGGCAATTACTCCGGAGTCTAAATGAAGTGGAACTAGAGATCTTGAATTTTTGTAAGTTGTTACTTGGTACATCAGCAGCATATTTGTCGGCAGTCAATACAGAAGTCATGCAGCAAGGATATATGCTGAGTAGGCAACAACAATTGCAGCTGATAAGAACTATCACAAGAGATGAAGTCAAGCAAGCAATACAGGACACTGACGACAACAAAGCACCAGGATGTGATGGGTATAACTCTTTCTTCTTTAATAAAACATGGCATATACTGGGTGAGAAGATTACTGAAGCAGTGACAGAGTTCTTGAAAGTGCTGAAATGTGTAAACCTATTAACTGTACCACCATTACTTTGATCCCTAAAGTAAAGAACCCAAATAGCATAAAGGAATTTAGACCTATATCTTGCTGTACAGTGCTATATAAGATGATATCAAAGATTCTAACAACAAGACTGCAGGAAGTCATGCCAGACCTTATTGACAATTGTCAAACAGCCTTTGTTCCAGGAAGGTTGATCACAGACAATATCATTATGAGTCATGAATTGGTTAAAAGGCTATGGGAGGAAGATTATCTCACCAAGGTGCATGCTAAAGATTGATATGCAGAAAGCCTATGATTCTGTGGAATGGGTATATCTTGAATGGGTGATGAGAATGCTGGGAATTCCAGAAAAGTTTGTAAAGTGGATAGTGGTATGTATTAGCACAGTCTCTTATTCTATCATAATTAATGGTAAGCCAACCAAGCCCTTTGAAGCAAGGAAAAGACTTAGATAGGGGGATCCCCTATCACCATTGCTATTTGTGATGGCCATGGAGTACCTATGCAGACTAATGAAGCAATTGAGGAACAACAAGGAATTCAGATTTCACCCAAGATGTGCTAAAGTCAATCTAGTACAATTGGGATTTGCTGATGACTTATTGCTTTTCTGTAAGGGAGACGTACAATCTGTCAAGACTCTGCACAAGCAATTTCAGACTTTCTCTACTTCTTTAGGTCTAATTGCAAACCCAAACAAAAGTTGTATCTATTTTGGAGGAGTGGACAATAGGACGCAACATCATATTATGGAACTGTTAGGATACACTAAAGGAGATCTACCTTTTAGATATGTTCGTGTTCCTTTGAGTACAAAGAGGCTGACAGCAATGCAATGTGAACCCCTAATTGATAGAATGCTAAGCATAATTCAGTGCTGGACAATAAAGTTTTTATCATATACAGGCAGAGCAATGCTAATCAAGAGTGTGTTAGTGGCAATTCAGAATTTCTGGGCTCAAATCTTTATACTACCAAAAGAGATTATATAGTTTATAGAAACAATATGTAGGAGGTTTCTATGGTCGGGCAGTGCTGAACCAAATAAGAAGGCATTGATTGCTTGTGATAAATTATGTGTTCCAAAGGCAGCAAGGGGGCTAAACTTCATCAATGTGGAACTGTGGAATAAAGTAGCCATATGCAAGCTTCTTTGGAATATCTGCACAAAGAAAGAAAAACTGTGGGTGCAGTGGATACATGCATACTATATAAAAGGGAACACTAATGGAACACTGAGCCAAAGAGTGCATTGTGGGTTATCCAAAAGATCTTCAAGGCCAAAGACAGTTTGAAGAGGCTGGCTATTCAGTAGAAGAAGTGAATCAAATGGAAAAGTTCTCTATAAAGCATATATACAAAACATTGCAAGGGAGCTTTCAAAAGGTGTCATGGAGGAAGATAGTCTGCAACAACAATGGGCTTCCAAAATGGATATTCATCTTAAGGTTGGCACTATAAGATAGGTTAGCCACCAAAGAAAGACTAGCAAGATGGGGATTAGTAGAAGGCCCAGTATGTTCACTGTGTCAGAGAAAGAATGAGACAATACATCACTTGTTTTTTGAGTGTGAATTATCAGATGCAGTATGGCAAAAGCTTATACATTGGCAAGGAATCACGAGAAAGAAGAAAGAATGGCAGGAAGAAATACAGTGGACAGAGAAACTGGCTAGAGGGAAGAGTGCAGGAGCAGCAATATACAGAATGGTGTTAGCTGCAACAGTCTAACATATATGGCAAGTAAGAAATAGTATCATTTTCCAGAAGAAGAAGAGTAATGCAGATGCTATAGTTAGATTGATCATCCAAGAGGTACACATCGGAGCTCAACAGGTTGCAAAACTGGATAGCTATTTGAGTAATATGAATTGGTATCCAGACCGAGCTTAAGTGTAGAGACAATAGGAGAATATGAAGTAAGTTAGAAAATTTCCTTGTTGGGGCTTCATGTCCAGCAGGAACTCTGTTAGGTGGATTGGATTTTGTAAAGCTGTAAATATTTACTTGGTAAATAAAGTCTTTAATTACCTAAAAAAATATATTTATTTATAAAGAAAGATACATAGCAAAAAAGTTATTCGATGACTATATACGTCCCTTTAATTTAATAGAGATTTTATTCACTAAAATTCAGATAATATTATTGACAACAACAGAATAAAATTTAAAATAAAAAATATTTCAAAATTAATAAAATATATATTCTCTTATATTACAAAAAGACGAGCAAATAAACATACTAAAAGTAATATGCTAATAAAAATTTCTATTAATATAAAATTTTCTCTTATATTAATAAAAATATTTTTTAATATTGACCGTCCATCGTGGTACAACTACTGATATTCCTTAACGTGGACCGTAGGATCTTTATTGAACTACTTGATCTGAACCTTCTTGGATATTAATCCAAATCCTAAACTGCTACAGTCTGACACCTTTTCACAGGAAAAAAAAGGAAAAGAAAAGCATCTCTTCCTTTCGTTCTTATTTTAACCCTAGAAACCCATTTGTGTTCAACTTCAACTGTTGCTGGGTTTGGATCGTTTCCTCCAGGACACGGGTAAACTAATTCAATATAGTATTTGTTTTTGCATTTTCTATAATATTTGTGTTTTGTCTAAGCAAAAATTTCATTCTTTGAACCCTAAAACGAACATAAAATTGGGGCCTGCAATTTCTATTTGTTCCTCCTCCTTTGTGTTTGTCGAAGCAAAATTTCAGCCTTTAAACTCTTAACCAATATAAATTCTGTAAAAATAAATATAAAAATCCAATCTTTGGTTCCAAAGTTTGGAACTTTTTTCTATTTTGGTAAATATTTTGAACTTGGGATGATCCTGCTCTGCTGTAATATATTTTTGGATTACTACTTTTTTTAAAACTATTATTTCATCCGTTATGACATTGAAGTAGAGCCTTGGAGCAACGTTAAAGTTTGTCTCCGCATGACCTATAGGTTACGGGTTCAAGAGTAGACTGCTTACATCATATGCTGCCCTTCCTCGGACCCTATGTAAACACGGGGTGCTCGAATGCTTCGTGCACCGGGGGGTGCATTGCCTGGCCGTTATGACATAGACTTACAATTTTTGACTAATCTGTAATGTTTCTGCAAAATTTATTTACTTATGTTTAATTAAGGTCGTGGCATGTAGTTGTTTGGTGCCGTTTTCCCCTTAATTTGCTCATATGATTGATTGCTTCTGAAGTTAATTTTGGATCATAAATCTCTAACTAAATTGTGAATATCTTATCAGCTAATATTATCATCATTCGAGTTTGATAATTGTCTTCAGCTAATATCATCATGAGGACGAGTAGTTTGGGTTCTTGGAATTAGATGGGAAGATTTCCAAGAAATCGATAAAGTTTTTATTTTGACGGGTGAATTTGATTGATTCTTAAATCTTGATGCTGCCATGAGTGTTTTATTTATTCTTTGCTTAGTTGCTTTGTTTTGTGGGATTTGTTTGTTGAAGCACAAAATGTTGCTATACACTTTTGTTTCCAATTGTCCCTCTGCATTTATTCTTCTCTATATTTTTGTTTGTTTTTGTTTTGTTGCAGCTGTGAACTTTATGAGAAGAAGTGAAATCCTGTTAACAGGTTCTCCAGCGTATCCTTCTCCTTGATTTTATCCCTTTCTAGTGAACCTTATATCTCTTTAATGTAAGACTGGCAAAACTTGTATCAATATAAATAAAAAATTTATGATTAAATGTATGTGTCTATCTATCTGCAGCTAGATGGGTGAAGTTCTTCCTCTGTGTGCCTCTCCTCGTGGCTTATTCCTCTGCAGTTGGACGGTTTCCTATCAGAAGTGCTGGCAGACCTTTGAAGACTGTGATTTCATTTGTTAAGAAGTTTAGGTGGGCATGGCCATCTTCATTGGGTGGTCCACCGGATGGTGATAGTAAGTCTCTTTCCTAAAGATTGGTATTATAAGGTTCAACCTAGCAGTTTATCACATACGAACAGATAGATACAAGTCTTATAGATCTGTATAAGACTTGAGGTCAGAGACCATATAGGGATGTAGTCACAGCATGATTTGCAGGAATTATGTGAATGCTGATTATATGTTGGTAAAAGTACTTGGGAATGCAAAGGATATGTCATTGAGGTTCCAAATTCCAGTTTGCACGACATCGTTGACTTTTGCGAAATTCCCAACCATGTAGGATGTTTTTCCAGGTCTCCAAAATTTATGGTTGAAGCAACACTTGTGGACATGGTGTTTGGCCTGCAATAATTTTTTGATAACAATGTTAGCCCAAAAAAGCAGTAGGATTTTTAAATATTATCCAACTAGGCTGACATGTAAAGCTTGTTTTTTTCCGTTTTACCATAAGCTTCTTGGAGGCCAAGGCCACCAACATTCTTATACTTCGTGATAATGTCGGTATTTAAGAGGTGGATCTTTTTCCTCTTTGTATCAGTAGAACCCCAGAGGAAGTTACTTTGGGTTCTATTAATAATCTTGGTTATGCTCTTTCAGAGATTTAATGCATAACGTGAGTGGGAATACTGCTAAGTGAAGATCTGGCAATTGAGGAATGCATAAGTTTGATGTAGTCAGTCTGTTATAGTCTTGTCATTGACTTTGCCACAAATTTATGAGATTTTATTTGAAGGGGGAGGTAATAATAGTGCATCAAGTTTGTGCGTGGTGCTGCTCACTCCCATTTGGTCATAGGATTTCCTTTGAAGTTCTTTTATGAAAAAGTTTCTGCAAGTATAGCTTTTCTGGTCGAACCCGCCCAAACCAACTAAGAAGAACCGAAGACACATCTTTTTTGTTATGAACCAGCCCCAGCCCAATGTCTCACAAGTAGCTATTAGGCTGACTGCTGAGAAGAGCTTTTGGGCCGAGAACAAGTAATAGGGTCAAGGTTAATTTGGGATCCAGGTTGAGTGTATGATGCAAGGATGGTTCTGTTAAAAGGGGGACCGGTCGGTTATTTTGGGATGAGGCATATTGTTGAGAAAGGTGGCCGCTTCTCCTCGTTTCCCATTCTTCGAGTCTAATCTTCTTATCCACTTCTTCTATCTATCCCTAGTTACTTTACTTCTTGCAATTCTATTGTAATTCTGCTACTAAGTTGTTGCATTTTGATATTTTGAGTTGTAATCACATTTCAGTCTTATTAATAGAGTGGAGAGGTTCAGTTACTCTGGATTTGAGTTCATTACATTTTTCCTTTTGGGAGTATTGTAACACAGGTGTTACAGATCTATTCCTGTCTCACTTATGAAGAGTTACTTCAACGTTTCCTTGGTCATTTCTAGCCGCGTCACCTTTCCGCAGATTTGACATGTTACAGTTGTGAAGATATTTACTAAACTTCTTGGTTAACCATACTCACGAAAGAAAAGATGAGTAGCTTTATATGGTGCTTTCTTACTCACGAAAGAAAAGATGAGTAGCTTTATATGGTGCTTTCTTGCTTGAGCGTCAGATCAATGCAACGATTACTTTACTGATACTCTTTGGAGACGAGATACTGCTTCTTTTTAGACTTTGAAGTGGTGATTTTTTGTGAAAAGTTGCCCGCTCCAAATTTCCGATTGTGCTTGTTCATAGTCTCTTGTGCTCGATTTTGTGTTTTTCGTAACTTTCTTTATGACGTAAATAGATTTTTCTCGTGTTTCCTTCAGGGCCTCTTGTAATGGGCGTTGATATATTGTGGTGGTGTTTGGGCTTCCTTCCCTACGGTTGCATGGTCGCTGCCGTTTTGAATTTTGTTCGTTATCCGATATCTTTCATCGTAATATTTATGTTAGCTGGGAGCTATTTTTTTCATATGGCTGTGCTATACTCTGTTGTTTATTGGCATCAGTACATGCCTTTCCGGTTAATTGGTGCCAAGGCGAAATTTATGATTGAGGTCATTCCCATGATAACTGCAGCAGCCTTGCGTCACCTTTTGGAGTTCAATTATGGGCATCTCGCTCTACTGCTATGCTGCACCACATATTTTTACACCTTTGCCCACTTCTTGCACTTAGCATATGATATCGGGGTAATAGACGTATCGCTGGGAATAGTCATGCAGGTTCTTGCTTACATGCTGAACGTAGGATTGTTAGTTAGAGCTTTGGCTTTGAGCTTCTGCGTTGTTTTATGTTTCTATAGATACATGACGTATTGTGCTCCTGAACTACCTGTTCATTGTAAAAAGGAGTTGGAGCAGCTACCTTGTTGATCTGAATGTCTCCGTAGAGGACTAATTTCGTGTACTTTTTAATTTATGATATCTCATAATTTATGAGCTATTATTGTCCTTTTTGTCATGTAATCTATCAGGGCTTCTTTCACACAGTCTCTCTGCCCTTCCAGGGTAGGGGTAAGGCTGCGTACATCTTACCCTCCCCAGACTCCACTTGTGGGATTATATTGGATGGATGTTATTGTTGTTGTTGTCATGTAATGAGCCCTTGGTTCACACCTCTGCTGTTCTTGCTTATCTTCTGCCCTTACATGTACAACCATATCAATGGAGAAAAGGACAAACATCTAGATAGCATTTTTTATTCTTAAAAGAGTATATTGCTGTAGGCCTGTAGCTGCAATACAAACTTCTAACAAAATTGTATTAGTTGTCCCTTAAGGGTTGTTTGGGACGTGGACTAAATTATCCCGGTATTATAATTCTGGGATTATAATACCTGGACTAATTTATTCCACCTGAGAGGTGGTATAAAGTAATACCTAGTTTGATGGGATAAGTTGACATAAGATGGGATATCCAGTAAGATAAATTTATATTGCCATGCCAACCAAACAGAGTATAAATTTAATCCCACACCTTATCCCACCTCTCTTGGGGGATAGATCATCGACTCCCTCTCTCTAAGAACTCCCCACCTTGCTCTTGGGGTTATTCGAAGTCACAATCTCTTGGTTGAAAGTGGAGGGTGCTCACCACTAGAGCAAACCACTCTTGTCTGTTAACGAGAACAGCATAGCTGTTAAATATTGAAAACTTGAAATTCTTGTTTTGGGGTTGAAATTGGCAGTTAAGGATTGGTTATTGTTAAAGCCATCTGAATGTGATAATTTCTGCTCAAATTTTAAGTTCAAACATTAGTTTAGTGATTTGATTTAAAAAAATCTCATATCTCCATTGCTGGTCATTAGGAAGTATAGAAGAAAAAGTGAACCCTCTACATTTGGTGTTATTTGACTAAAGACGATTGAAGATTATTTTTGTTGGTATTTAGAGGCTTTGTTTAAAATTTTTAATCACTTGAACCAGGTTTGGGGTGTTTATATCGGAATTAGAATTAAAAATTTGAAGAACACTTTTAAAATTTCAAATTACTTGAGTCAGATTTGGGAAACAATTTAACAAATTGATCGATTGCAGATATACAACGTCACGTCATTTTAGTAGAGTTTGGTGAATAATTGAATAAGCACGAAATCATGCTAATCGAATAGACTTTTATTTACAATTTAGCAGATAGATGGATAGAATTTGGTGAACAACTGAACTATACAAATTCATTTCGACTGAACAGAATTTATGAACAATTAACAATACAGATAGAGTAAAATATTATAAAATCTTCCAATCTAGTAAAGAAATCCCTGAAGAACAATAACTGTGTGCGGATCCGAAGCTCATATTAAACACATTAAAAACAAAAATAATCTTTAAAGACCAACCCTTATAGGGTCATCTTATCAGTCACCCCCAAATTTTAGCCGAATGAATAGACTTTCGGCTAAACTTGTTCTAAGTTTTAATTCACGCACCTACATTAAGTGTTTGTTTGGTATGGGAGATAAGGAATAATAAATTTCGAGACAAAATTTAAGAAGAGTTTATTCTATATTTGGTTGGGAGAAAATTACGATATAATTAATTCAGAAATTAGTTTTTCCGGAATTGTAGTTTTTTTATCCCCATGAAAAAGTGAAATAACTAATCCCGGAATAATTAATCCTGGGATAACTCTTTCCAACCAAACGACCCCTAAGGGTTTAATCCGTTGGATGCTGTATAATACAACCATCGGAAAACAGACATCATCAAAGAAAAAAAAGGTCAAAACCTGAAACTACAAAAGGAAAAAGAGAATTTAAATTTGTCTCTTTTCTCTTTTCCAAAAGGTATATTTAAATTCCGAATCACTCTTAAATATATACCAATAATTCGCGACATAATTCAAGAATTTAATAAATAATAAAACATTTTTTATACAGTATTTTAAAAAGGGTGGGCACGAGGCGAGGTATTTTACAGGATATAGCAAGGTGCAAGCCTCGAGGCGATGGGCTTGAGCCCCATGTGTTTTTAGATTTTTAATATTTTTAAATTAATATAATAAAATAAATACTAAAATAAAACAAAATTACAAAGAGATTTTAGAAATTTCAAGAAATTATAAAATAAATGATACAACTACTTTATCTTAAAAAGCTAATTTGCTCAGCAATTTGACTGAAAAATTAATCCAAAATGCTTCATACAAAAGGTAAACGAAGGGATCCCCCAAAAGTGTCTCAAAATTGCCAGAGAGTAATCAAGATCCAGGTATAAGTGTTAATATTTTTGAAGCCAAGTCAGGTAAATTTCTATCCTCTCAAATTTTTTTTACAAAACTAGAACTCACCATTTACAACCTCCTAACAACTGCAAAACTACCCCCCATAATCCCTACCAAAAATTCGAACAATTTCCATCTGTTGAACCAAAACATTTTAGATGATAATCTATCTAATAACGTCATTAATGACCTTAACACAAACACAACCAATGCTAATTACAATACTATTCCCATAAATAACAATATTAAAACCGATAATAATAGCCTTAATTCTGTAATCCCTAATAAAGATTGTATTAATGAATCTTTACATAATACAATGGGCCCACGTTACACTCATACGCAATTTCCCACCCTACCAGCTATTCTCACCACCCCTCTCACCCAATCATCCCCTAATACCACCCATAATACTACCCTACCCAACAACACGCCCCCCCACTAATGAAGACCCTACTAATCCTCCCTCTAATGCCCCTCTAACGTGTAATACTACCCTAACCAAATCAATCCCAGCATCTGACAGGACACAACTGTCATGCAAGAACCAAGCCAATGAACAAATGGCTATCGACATTCCCCACAAAAAGACACCTCATCCCAATCCAATCCTGAACCAAAAAATCTCCATTAAATACACGCCAAACCAGTCATTTTGTATGCAAGGAAACAATCCAATCATTGATATCCTAGGAAATATTAACTCTACTGATTCTCCTACTCCTTCTTCCCCATTAAATTGTTCAAGTCCTAGTGATAATGCCCAGAATCCCTATCTCAACAAGGAGACGCCACCGTTTCATCCAACTCCAAAGAATCACTCTCAATCCAAACATGGACCACAATCCTCCTCAAAACATCCAGAATCAGAACCAAAACAACCAACCAAGAAGGATTTTGATCCAACCACCTCTTCCTCAGAACCACCAACCACTATCTTGGGTGGAGATGGGGCTTATAAGCCATGCACTCTCGTTCAACATCACTTTGGAAGGGAGGGAAACAGTGATAATGATCCAGAATTCTCACTACATTGCTCAACTAATCTCCGAAGGAGTTTGCATGGCGATGAACAACTACATCAACCAAATATGGTTGAACAACATCCTAAACCCCATGCCCCAAATCTAACCACCAATCAAATTCAAGCCATGAGGGGGGACTGGAACATGCCACTCAACTTCATCCCAATTCAGAACCCAATTCCGGCAGTAGACCTTCCCTTCTTCACCCCGGAATACCTATCCACCATGAATCCAGTGTTCACCCCCTGGATTGCACATGCAAATCCAACCCCACCTCCTATTGTACCAGATGTTCAAGCCATGCAAACCCCTTTCTCTCATCAAACCCAAAATCAAATGGAACAAGCAATGGAAGAAGAAGTCGACCCAGTAAACTTGATCCCTCAAAACGTGGTCGAGGATTCAAACCTAGACGAGCTAAAATTCTTTCTATTTATGGAGAGGAAAGACCAGAAGCAAATTCTCTACTGTCCACTGGCACTATACAAGTGCACAATGGACATAAGACCCCCACCAGACCCTACCGTAGGAAAACACGCAATGATCCTCGTTCCATTTCAGAGGAGGAATCCTACCTTTCCAAGGAGAATGAGGGAGAATGGAGACCTGAGCAACCCATTGTTAGACATGAATAGATCGACCACCTTCATCATTTGGAATACAAGAGGGGGCAACAATGACAGTTTTAGACTAAGTTTCAG